ATACCATCAATTTGAGCTCTATCTGCCTCATATATTTAACGATGACCGGGGCGTAGATGCACCAACTTTGATGGTATTAATTCATGGTTATAAGTCTCTTCAAAAATTGACACTACATATTTTCCCTTTTTATTGTAATGCACACGGAGCCTTGTTGCACAACTAGTACGAGTTAGTTGTCGGTGATCTCTTTTCCTATCTACACTAACTAAGTGCTTATTGTCTCTTAATCCATGTTTGTTGCATACATACTGCCTCATTACTACTATTTCACTACCTCCGGGACCTCTTCTCCTAACATCGCTTTTCCTTATGGAAAAACCTTTACATTTTCCATAACTATAATAAAAGTCACGCGCTTCACTCATGATTTCAAATTCCATAACACAAATTTCATTGGAAATAATCGAATTTACACTCACCACTCTATCAGCTATAACTGCTTCTCTATTTGATACGTCTGATTCAACTAATTCCTCTTTATCGTCATTATCTGAATCATCTTCATTATCATAATCATCTTCACCATTTGAACTTTGATGGCCACTAGATACAACATTATTAACATCTTTATCACAACTATATTCAGCATCCGATGAATCAGTGTAATAAATATTATTCAAATCAACCCCAACGGAGTCAGCGTAGTTGTCCATCTGAAACCGGCTAATATATATCACAATATAAGCAACACCATACATAAAACCTAATTTCGAAATTGAAATGAATTCTTAACTTACATTTGAAATGTAATTCGAAATCCTTAATTTAAAAATCCAAATAAAGACAATGACATCAATCATATAAGCAAAAATCCAAATTGAAATAAACATTTTCCAACATAATGAACAACTAACAACTTCAAAATTGAATTCAATAAATTTGAGTTCCAATTACATATTACAACATCAATCACAAAACCTAATTTCTAAATTGAAATCCTATAAGAAATTGAAATCATCAAATATTAAACCCACATACCTTAACAAATTGGATATCAATACGAACTATGTGAGAAGCGCGATTCTATGAGTTAATATTGAACATGATCGGTCCCAGACAAATATTGAATTTCTTATTATAAAATAAATTTTAATAATATACATTTTTATAAAATAAAATAAAAAACAATAGAACTAGACACAAACAATAATATATTATATTTTATCATATAAATTTAATAATAAATGAATGCATTTATTATATGATGGATTTTTTAAATATAAAATATATATAATTTATATTATATTCAAAATTTATTTTTAAAAGATTTGAAAAGGTTCATGGAATTTATGATTTTTTTAATGTAAACTTTTTTGAAAGTTTATGTGCCATTGTTATTCATAAAAAGATAAAAATATGGAATTGTAAAAACTTCTACAATTTTTTTTGGAAGTTCATGTGCCATTGTGGTTCTTAAAAAATATATAGAATTGTAAAATAAGCTTCTACTAGTCTCAAACTAAGACCATCACATTTCAATTTCAAGAACATACTCCCTCCTTCAAAATATAAGAGAGAAAAAAAATAAAATCAAACTTATTATATAAAGTAAAGTATAATAATTTGACTTGAAATTTTCTTTATAAAAAATGCATAGGAAAATATAAAAACAATTCAAATTGGTCGTTGATTATAGAAAAGATGAGAGATAGTGTAAATTAAATGTAATTTATATTTAATTTTATCTTGGAAAAAATGAAAGTTGAGTTTTTCTCTTATATTTTGGAACAATAAAAATACATTTTTTTCTTATATTTTAGGACGGAGGGAGTACCTCTTACTGCTAGACTACTGCGATTTGTTATTCTAGTTTTTGCGAACACTTTATTTATTATTTATTTATTTTAATCTATTTTTTCGATTTTGAGGCCCTGATTTTTTGAGGCCGTGGGCCTGTTTGCCCTGGCCCAAGGTCGGCCCTGACGGTCGTTGAACACTGTTGGCAAGAAAATTGACGATTGCGAAAGCAAATTCATTTGTGATCGTATTACAATTGCAACGAAAGCAGTTTAATGTGGATATTTAAGAAGATGAAGTTGTAAATATGAAGTTTTGAAAATAGAAGTTGTAGAAGATGAAATTGTGTTGGTTGGGGAAAGAAGATGAACTTATGAAAACAAATTTTCTGACGAAAATTTTTCAATTGTTTTATTAATTTTGATTTTAGAAAAAAAATCATAATTGAAGTTAAAAAACAATATATTGAATAAACAACAAACGAGACTTAGTTACAAATATGTTAAAACTTAATTACAATAATAATAAATATGAGGTTATAGAAACTTGAATGTATAACATAATCCTATATACATTCTAGAGTTTAAAAACGTTTGTGATTGATCAGATTATGACTTTTTCAAAAAAGTAAATATGACAATTTCACTATGGAATCTTTCTTTTCCTCTTAACTAATGGGGGCATTACCGGATGGAATGGTCATGTTATTGATGTAGGTGATTTTTCAAAGGTAAAATTTAGGGTATGCTATGTATGTAGATGATTTTTTAAAGGTAAATTTAAAGGTATCACAGTAGCACAAAACATTTTGTTAAGATCTCAAGGGACAAAGTTTTAACAAGTAAGGAAGGTGCTGCAACAAAAGGGCAAAATAAAGCATGGAAGAAACTATTTTTAGTGACTTAAATCGGAAGTAAGGAAGGTGCTGCAATAAAAGGGCAAAATAAAGCAAAGATAAAATTGTTTGTATATTTATTCCTGATCTTTATTGAATTGTAACACTCATAATATAATTAATATATACTTAACTTGTAGATTTGAGAAACGAACTTTCCTTTAGAATCTATTTTTTTTTTCTTCTTTTTTTACTGTAGTAGTTCTGTGCTTCTGCATTCTAAAGCATCTATTGAATAATGTAATTTAATAGAACTTTTTTTGTATTCATGCAAAGTTTAATACTACATTTGACAAAAATCAATATATCAATCATATAGAAAGAGCATGCAAATTAATAACAAGTTGCGCCGCTATCTTTTTTGAATGACAAAACTATTCTTCTTAAAAACTACATTCATTGTCGTATAAAATATTGAATAATAATATCTTTTCATATTCTGTTATCCTTCAAATTTACTAACAAGAAGTTCATGCTGCATGCATTGGAAGATATATAAGGTAAGGATTAAACTTCTCTTCCTCATCTCACATTGTTCTTTCACTCTTTATTTCAACCTTGAAGATCACCATGAGCATTATTGAAGTGGGAGAGTATATTTATGACGCCGCATACACCTCCGAAGGTAAATAAGTCTGTCTCTAATTTGGTAGCCAAATGTTGTCTCTTGTAGTAAATTTAATTGCAACCAATTATTAACTTTAAATATGAAATGTGTGTATCTAGAGGACAAGCTACGAGGGTGTACAATAGAAGGAAAATGGGAAGAAGTGGAGAAGCTATACAAATCAGATCCAAAATTCAGCACAATAAAAATCAACAAAAGTAGAGGAACAGCACTACATGTGGCAGTAAATGATGAGAGCGAAAAAGTTGTTAGAAATCTTGTTGATTCAATCGTAAGTCACAAAAGTGAAAAGGCCCTTGAATGTAAGAATGAAAAGGGTGACACTCCATTGCACCTTGCAGCATCAAGAGGATTCAAAGATATATGTGAATGTATAATTGGAAAAGATGGGGAAAGGAAGTATTTGATTGATATCGATAACAACATCGGAGAGACTCCTTTGTTTCTTGCTGCATTGTCTTGGCAAAAACAAACATTTGTTTATCTCTTCAACTTTAAACGGAGCAAGAGTGGTTCTGAATCTGATGTTGATTGTAATTATTCTTATTCGAAAGATCTTATTCGAAGCAATGGAGATAGTATTCTTCACTGTGCCATCAGGAGAGAATTTTTCGGTAATTAAATTTTTTACTTAAATTGCATGTTTGCTTCACACAGAAATCTGCATGAAAATGCTAATATTTGTGTATACTGCAACAGATTTGGCGCTTATAATAATAGATAAATATCCGGATCTTATTGTCATTCCGAATAGACTTGGATTTAGTCCTCTCAAACTTCTTGCTACTAGACCCTCAGCATTCAAAAGTGGATGCAAGATGATATGGTGGAAGATGATTTTGTACCACTGTAAGTGTGCGGCATTTCAATATTGTGTACATTACTGTCCATTATGCATAGTCTTAATACATTTATGCATTACAAGGTATACCTGTGGGAACCCTAAATGTGGAAGAAGCTGTCAAATATTATGGCATGAAACAATATGAGTCAAGCTCCCACAACAAATGTCCAAAGAACTATGACACGTGTTATCTCTTTCTTCATAAATGTAAAGAATATGCTGATCCAGTTCTACGCTTTGTTAAGCGATTGATGATGAAACAAACTACTTCTACTTCTGCATATGGTATGTGTGAATTACATCTTACAATAGTATATAAAACACATAACCCAAAAATTAAATGAAGCTGTTATTGAATAATTGAACTTGCAGGATCTAAAAATATTGGAGAGAAATACAAAGTGTTTCAAAATTATCAACATCGCAATATATCAATGCAATCTGAACACAAAATTCTTCCAGAAAACTATGCTACATGTCTTTGGTTTATGAAGTTTGCATGCATCTACATCCTTGGCCTTTCAGGAGTAGGTAATTATATCTCTCATCTTAGTCGATATCACGAGTACATGTTTGATGTTTGTTTTATTGTTCTATGGATGATGTTATCAAAATTTGTTAAAAGGGATTGAAGAAATCACAAAGATGAAACAAAAACATAAATGGAGTGGTCAGCTATTGAAAAGATTTATGGATAACCCTTATGAATCGTATTTGGGAAGCGGCACCAAACCAACACGACATGTCAGCGGAACTGATTTTATTTCTGCTTTCAAGCCAAACCAAGGTAAGTTAAATCTGCATTAAACCAAGATATTATTGGAAATAACATAATGAAACTTGCAGGAGATAATAACAGTGAGAAGCTAAAGATTTCTACGACGCTGGAAAGTGAGACAGCAATTTTGACAGCAGCAAGAAATGGCATAGTTGAAATAGTGGATGAGCTTATAACAAAAATACCAAGTTCAATATACGAAGTTAGCTTGGAAAACAAAAATGTGTTACTGGTAGCAGTTGAGAACAGAAGAACCATTATTGTTGAGGCATTAAGGAAACGGTTTGAAGAGTGTAATAAGAAAGCGATATTCGATAACTTAATCCAAGGTGAGGATATGGAAGAGAACACTGTGTTACATTTAGCAGCAACAAGAAGCGATCAAGATTGGCACATTTCTGGAGCTGCCTTGCGAATGATGTGGCATATAAAATGGTTTCAGGTATATACATTTTTAATATAGCATAACCTCGACTTCAAACTGTTTGAAACCACTTATTTAAGCTTAAATTTTGACACTATGAAGCAGTACACAAAAGGACTAGTGCCAGAGCATTTCACAGTTAGAACAAACAAAAAAGACAAAACTGCACGGGAATTATTCAAGAAATCATATTCAACACTAGTACAAGATGGTAGTGCATGGCTGAAAGACACTTCTGAGTCTTGTTCTGTAGTAGCAGCACTTGTTGCTGGCGTTTCCTTCGCTACGTCAAGCACTGTGCCGGGCGGAAACCAAAGTGATACAGGTGAACCAACATTGGAAGGAAGGCCTGCATTTGATGCATTTGCTATGTCTTCGGTAATTGGTCTTTGTTTCTCAGTCACTGCACTCATAATGTTCCTTTCTATACTCACTTCACGAAAAGAAGCAAAAGATTTCAGAATTGATTTGCCAAGGAAGCTTCTTATGGGATTGAGTTCTCTTTTCTTGTCGATTGTTGCAATGTTTGTTGCTTTCTGTTCTGGCCATTTCTTTTTGATTGACCACAAGTTCAAGCATATTGTGTTTCTGATTTATACAGTCACTTGCTTCCCTGTCACATTGTATGCAGTAGCGCAACTTCCACTTTACATTGACCTTCTGAAAGCTATTGTAAAAAAAGTGCCAAAGACAAGTGATAAGGGCGAGGACTTGTAAAGGTGCAAAATGCATTCAAAATGGATTTCGCTTGTTCAAATAACAAGGCCGTGACTTGTTCACAAAGATTTGTTGCACATAAAAAACACATTTTCCTGTATATTTTATCTTTGGCTTAATATTACTCATATTATTTATGGTATTCTCTTTTAACTTTAAAAAAAAAACTATATTAATCTCATAATGCTTCAAAAATTAAGCTAGTTAATTTACTTTATATTTTGCGCCTTAAACTTATTAATTTATTATATTTTTATAATATTAAAATAATTAAAAAATTAATTATAATTTAGTTGTTCGGGCAAGTTGTTTATGAAGTGGACAACGTAATTGAAGAAAATGCGTCATATTTAGTACAAAAACAATCATGAAGGTGTGGTGGGTGAGGTGTTAGATCATTTGTATCCCGTGTCGCCTTTGTGGGTTCTTCATAAATATATTGATACACAATCTCTTAAGCAATGAGACTTGAAAATGACGAAGTGATTTACTCTTGTCCTTCCCTCCTTATTTGGATGAGTCCCTACGACATGAGGAGGTTCCCTCTTGTATGATGTGAGTTCCTCTTGTATGAGGCAAGTCCGTGATACATCTTCAGGTGTTAATGAGATGAATCACATGTCGGTCCGTTGAGGAAAATTATACGTCAGCCAGCTGAGGAAAATCATACGCCACATTACTTCCTTTTAAACTTCCATCCATTTAGTAAAGAGTTCTTATAGACGTAGAATGCATTCATTTTACAAGTTCTTGATCGTGATTGTAAGTATGATGTTGCTATTCATTTGCTCATTTTGTTCTTAACAATGACTATTAGGTTTTGGGACATTTAAGGAGTGTATGCGCTCTTAATGTCACGAATTAGGCCTTTCTGAGATGTGAGAGTCCTGGTAGTTCTGATAGTGATTTTCTTACTCTCCTTGTTCTTACTAGGAATCGATGGAAAAATAGATGTACGATGCTTCAACGTTCAAGACTTCGAGTCCCTCTACTATAACAGGACATGATTGTTGCTTGTTAACGGAAAATCAGACTTTCCAACACTAGACACAAGGAAGACGTAATTTTCTAAAGGGGTGAAGGCCAACCTATTCGTCTTGGAAGGCTCATCCACTCTCTATTTCTACCCGCATCTCCCAGTCATTCATGATTTAGGAATTTTAACACCTTTCACACCATTTAAAGTCGAATTTCTAGTGACTGCAAATGTCACTCCTTCTTAAGTTACGCTCAACATTTGGGGTATCATTATGGTGTTCGAAATTATATGTCAACAGTTGGAAGTCTTTCCCACCTTCAGGTTATTCTTCTCTTTCTATAGTACCAAAATCAGCGTCAAAAGTGGTTGAGTGACCTTAAGCGGTCTTCCAAGAAGAAGAACGATAAATCCCTTCTCAAAACTTTACACGAACCGGAAAGATAAGTCTATGAGGGTCAGAGGGAAAGATTGTGCCTCCATGGTCACAATTGGGGAGATTTGCGCCCCTCACTTTGCCTTGTCTTAGACGAGTGACCCGAAGGTCATCATTGGTTTAACTTTGATGATTTTACCCCAAATAAGCAAGAGATGGTTCAATTATTGAAATATTTTGAGTTCGTGAGCTCTTGTACCCAGATCGCTCTAAATTGAGCAAACGATAACAAGACGGATGAATAGTTGGGTGAGTTTGTGGTCGAGAAAAAAACCTTTCCCTGAGGCTATTTATGTATTACAATGTCTTATATTTTTCTATGCTCTTCTAGAAAAAATGTCTAAAATTCCAATGGCAGAGAGGAAGGAGCACATGGCCATGAAGAAGGTCGAATGCCAATCGAAAGAATACCCTTAGAGTTTCCCAAGCGGCTGAATAACAGTGGATGGAAAAGCGCGGCGAGGAGCATACCCTAGGGATTTCTTACCCCCTCATAAATCCAAAATCAAGGAGACAGTTCTCACAAATTATGAATGATGGCAAGATGACGATTGTTGGGGAAGGTAAGGCTAGTCCATATCAATGAAGGATGGTTCTCGCCCTACACCTTATTTGTTCAATGACCCCTCGTTCGATGCTATCAAGTTTGTTAGGAGTTATATCCCCTTTCACGGGGTTTTCCCCATTGACTATTGATGCCTTAATGATAAGTCGCATCTTAAGCTTTCATGGATGGCTAAAAATCACGTGCTAAGGGGTTTTCTGATTCAACGGGCTGAGTGAGAGAAGTATAATTAAGTTATTGGTAAACTGAAATCTGAGCTTGCATTGGCTCAAGGTAACATCATCCAATGTCAGGAGATGGTGGTGACCCTAATGAAAGAGAGAGGGAGAGAATATTTTAAGACTCTACTTAAGATGGTGATGCTAGAGGCACAGACTCACGCCGCTGTAGAAAAGAGCCTAATGGAATCTCTTGAGAAAGCCCCTAACTCTCTACAGAAACGTAAGGGGGGAACTATTTATGCTCAAGGATTACCTGGTGTCGCTACCGCGAATAATACCGACGCAAACAAAGTCGCCATCAAACGTTATTTATCCCGAAGAATGGAAAGGAAAACATTGAGAAAACCTAAGAAAGAGAAGGAACATGGTCACACAACCAATATTCGGGTTCGAGAGTCGATTATGCAAGGGGAAGGAGTTAGCACCCCTCACATACTTGGTACTCCACAGGATACACTCTTGTTGCTCTAATTAAAGGGTGTGTTATATCTAAAGCTTACTTGCTAAGAGAATACATGAGAGAATTGATTTGGAAAAACAAAAGATTTTTTATTATTGTGTTCGCCTGAATTTTGTAACTCGGTTCCTACGTATCCCGAAGGAATCAAAACACCGTAGTTCTTATAAATATTTTTGGTTTGTTGCATGTTTTTTTTATGAATGATGCTAAGTTCTAATTCTAATAATTAATATTGCGGCTCGACCTTTGGAGACTCGCGGATTTTTGTATTGCGTAGAATGGAATCAACATGTTCTTTGTGAAAGGTTTTAAGAAGAAAAATTCTCTAAGGCAGAAAGAATTTGAATTTGTTGAATATTTTGTTGGGATAATAGCAAATGACTCCTAATACAGGGGCACTTCTATTTATCCACTTATTTGTGAAAAAGTTTGTGAATTGAATCATACTAAAGACTATGGATGAAATAAAGAAAAAGGTTGGGAATGCACTGCCTCATTCTTCTCCCACCACTTAAGACTCATGGTATATGATTCACATCTTATTCATTAAGTGTTTTTGAGTTTGAAGAAGAAAAGAAGTTTTAGTCTTAATATAATGTAATGCAAAAAGGAAGAAAAGGACTAAGTGAAACTAATCCTAATGTTGTCATGCATCATGGAATTAAGGTTGAGATAAGAGGGAAATCCTAAATATGTTATCATGCTTGGATATCAATCCTAAGGTCTATCTCAATTCAAATTTAACCAAGATTGAATCAAGATATCCTAAAGGTACATGTTATCAAACAAGGCACACATGTAAACAACTGCATCAATATGCAAAGTTAACAACCCCTAAAGGAAAATCAAGTTCAAAGGTAACAACCTGATGAGTGCTAAATTGTTGTGAATTTGAGTGTGAATAATTATCACTCATCGGCTTAATTTGTTTTCTTTTTTGTCAATAAACCTCAACTTTAGTATATATTCAGTATAATTTACATTATAGTGTACTTATTGCGTTATTGTGTAAATATCATTGAATTTAATTGATTTTATCTCATTTTTGTAGGTATTCAACCATTGATATTTATGCATTGTTAGATAAAGTATTGGATAAGTTTTCCAACGCTTCCGACCGTGCGCAAATCAAAGTTACGGTTCAAAAGTTATGGCCGAAATAATGCAGAATATTGTGCTGATTTTTTCAACTTTCTGTCATCCATCGTCGGGCGGCGCTTTTTGGTCGTCGGGGGATGCTAGGCGAGCTATAGCGTGGGAAAAACACTGTTTTGGTCACAGGGCGATGCTTTTTGGTCGCCGAGCGATGTTGGACAGTCATAAATGCGTATTTAGGTGTAAAAACACATCTTTTGGGTATGGTTTTGGGTATTTTTGACCCCAACTCCATCATCCCTCATATTTTGATAGTTAGAGCTTAGAAAATAAGATGGAGCTTGCATACTGATGATCTAGGGTGGATATCAATCGACGCTGACAAATTGGGAGATTTGTGGTTCATTTCTCTTCCTCTTTGTGTATTCTATTTAATCTGAACTTATGTATATTTGTCGCCCATGGGTTATATTAAACTTGATTTATAAATCTTTGTCAATTATTATCTTAGATTTTTGCTTTGTGCTAGGGATTTGAGTTGTTATAGACATATACTACTTAGATTCTTATCTAGAATGATTATCTGTTAGTTTCTGAACTCTAGAGATAGATTTAGAGCTGACATCTACTTGGGTATCAGAGCTTAATGCCTCTGTGTGGTTGTGCTGTGCTGAGAGATCGTCAGTGCGATTACATAAGTTGTCTTATATGTTGTTGAGGAGGTAGAGATATCA